CTTTGATCTTCGTTCACCAAGATAATGTTCAAATCAACTACACGATGAATCATGATTCATTACAGGAGCAAACTCCAAAAAAGTGATCCAATGCGTGAACATCGCGTGCTAAAGATTATCGATCATGAATCCAACGATCAATATTTTGCGGACCGCCGTGATTAATCGCATCATTATCTTTAAGGTGATATAAATATTTTGATACGATAAAAGTTTCCTCAATTAATAACCAATTATTTCTTGAGACTAAATCAAATTATTTTTCAAAAATACAACATTGCACAATAATTAGATATATCATAATGTTTAGAAAATATAATCTTATGTCTCATTAGGAAAATTAATATTTAACTCAAAAAAATAAATTTATTTACAAAGTAGTTAAAATTAATTCATATACAAAGATAGATTTATTTGAAAAATGAGCTATTTTTCATTATATATTAATTACTTTTGTAGAATTAACACGTATAATATGACACATGTAATTATCTGATACAAAAGTATTCAAGTGCTTTAATTAATTCCGTAAACACATCGAGTTATTCTTGTCATTTACGTTCATTGAACTGAACTTGTTTAGTGCATCTGCACTAAGTAAAGTAATAAGAATTCATTTATTTTCGTATTGAAAATTGTGGAAAATCATTTAAGCTATATTGTACGATTTGCACAAATCAAAATTTATAAACATTATTACATAAATACATATTATATCGTAACTGTTTAAACGTCGATTATAAAAAAGAATATTATGAAAATATGTTATGAATTGTGTATATATCGATTTCATTAAAATTTAATAAAATTGCACGCCGCCTGATCCCGAATAATTACGTGAAATATGACCTCCAATTTAAAATGTAGATGATCGATTTTAGTTGTATTTTTAGGATTTGACCCTTATCAATATGAATAATTTTACATATGCACGTTAAAGCTCATGTTAGTTAAAGATGTTAAATCTGTTTCTGTATAAATTACCATAATGTTTTACATTTAGTTCAATGTCAAAATTTGACAGTCATGCACCATGTGCAACATGTTTTTCTGCAAGAGCAAACGCAACACTTGATTTCAAATTGTTTGCGTTAATAAAAATTGCAAAAATGGCAAAATAATAAAATTATTAATAAATCATTCTATCACTATTAGAAATTAATTAATAGATTAAAAAATTGGAAAAATACCATTCTTATTCTTCTATATTCTTATACCATTCTTATACCATTTATATTCTTTTCTTCAACATATTCTCATTCTATCACATATTGATAGAATATTGATAGATATTGATCTAATTTGGTATTTTTAGTAAAATCGCTTATCGTGAATTAAAATTATTGAGTATTTGTGACATTATGTCCCATATAATTTTATTTATAAAGCCTTCTCCTCATTTTTAATATATTTTTAATATATCTTCATGGATATTTTATTTCTTGATAAACTCTTGATGTGATCCGTGTAATAACAATGATAAAGCTCTGAACATGTGCTAAATGCAAGGAAAAAAAAGAGAAGCGTTGTTTACCGAAATTGTCTCAATTTCTAAGTAATGATCTGAATAATCCTATCGATTTTACGCAACAAGACATATCTTTGAAGTGGTGTGATGTTTCACCTTTGTTATCAAAAAGTCCAAACAGTAAAATTTTCAGTTAGAATACATGTTCGATACAACAGAACATTGCAACTGACAAACTAATTTATATGTTTGTCATCAGAAATCTTTCCGTAAGATGAACTTATTGATGGCAAAGAAAATGTGCAATGTCAGATAAAGTTTTCAGATAAAATAATTATCTTACATAAATAAGATTTTTTTTTACGGTTGACATGAGTTATCACGCGTTGTTCATTCGTTTCTCATATTGAGACTTCAACAAGCACGTGTCACACATATATGACGTCTCATGTTTCATATAACAAACCGCCGTTGTACATGTGCAATATATGATAATGAATGCTAAATGAATATCACACCAGTGATACAGTTCGAAAATAAACGACGCAAAAGTTTTGTACATCGTTTTAAAATACATTTTGAAATAGGTATTGCGAAGGAATCATTTGTGACGAGCGGTATTTTACCAAGAGGAAGAGGAAGTTACTAATCAAGTTACTAAGGAATTTGAATAATATTTTATGTATATTTAATTATAATTTAATTAACGCTATTGATATCGCGACAATTTGTAAAAGCGTTAAGCAAGTTGCAGATAATTGCATTTTATCCGATATTCAAACTCACGCGATTCAACGCGCGAATTACAGCATCAATATCAAGTCTGATGATTGACAACATGTGATGCGAACGTGTGAGAAGAGAGCATCCGGATCACGCGGTGCTATACATCCGCGGACTTTCTCCCGAGAGAAATTGTACGAGGCCTCTCACTGACTCTATTCGAAAACAGAAACCCAAACGTTTGGCAATTGTCAATACGCACAAAATAGAATAAATTGATGACAAATTTCTGACAATGTTTTTCAACAATGCATCAGATAACATATAGCCCATATAAATGAAAATTAGCAAATGTTTACAACAATTTTCTACAAATTTTTATCGATTTTATTTATATTATATTATATTTTATTATATGTAAATTTTATATGTGCGCTCTTATTTAAAATTTTCGTATTTAATAAAGCATAAAATTAAGGTTTCTAATAATAAATTGCGGTATTTTAGGTTTCTAATAATAATTGCGGTATTTAATGACGAAAATCTTCATAAAGTAAAATACATTAAAAAGAGATGCGCCTTTTATTAAATTTTATTTTTATTTTATTTTTTATTGCATATATTGTTTCAATAAAAAATATTTGAACATATTTCATAAGATTTTTATTACATTTTCTTGCTTCTAAAATCATCAAGATAGCGATGAATCATCAGAAACAAAATATTATTTTTAGTTATATTTCTTTCAATCATAAACATAAAATAACACATCAAATTACACATTTTTAATGAAAATTAATACATAACAATTCTAAGTAAACAATTTCATTCCCGTTAACAATTTCATTTTAAGAAAAGATTGATTGGATATAAAAATAACACAGGACAATTAGATTAAAATATTTGACTTTACAATCGAGACGTATAATTTTTAACATTTAAATATAAATTGTGAAAACTCTGGAACAATCTGAAAAGTGTATTATTTCCATAATCATAAATTACATAAACCTCTGTTGTGAAAATTATTTTAATATCAATGTATTAAAATCATAATATTTTATGCTGTTTTAATCCAAAAGCATATTGAATTAAATATTTCAAGTTATAAAATGATTGTTTTCAATTCGGGAATTATTGGCTACATTACATTAATTCCCTTAAATAAACGCAGATGTTTTCAAATGGCGATCAATTGTTGAAATAATTGATTCATGCATTGCAAATATAATTAATTAATTATACTATCGTTCTTTTAACCGACTCAAACTTTGAATCGATCATCATTTTTGCAAACATATATCAGACAGATTATCATTTTATGTGATTAATATATCTACTAACATTCAATCACAAAAAAATCAAAGATCCGATAGCATATGGTTTTTAATAGATTTGTATTTTTTTCTTATGTAATGATACTCAAATCGTTTTGTATTGTGATGACATTCAGTAACAAAATCTTTTTTCATGTAATTATAATCCTGATTTAAACAAAAGTAACATTATATTGTTTATAGAGTAAGCAAAAAAAAATTAATTTATAAATACGCCTTTTGCACGTTTTTGTTCCGTGATTGCAACAGACTGCGCCGAGAATCTAAATACACGAAGTCATCCGATATGCTCATGTACCTCAAAACACATTGCAATGCAGAGATAATAAATCGTATTAATCAATGATAAAGAACAAAGGAATCTAGACGAATCTAGGTTATATGATACGTATATCTTTATATGTTCTATATGCTCTATAGATCAAAATAGGAAGTTCAAGTAAATTCTCGAATAGATTTTACAGAGCAAATTAGTTCTGTTTCTGCGATTTTGTTTACTTCGGTCATGAGCAATGACTCGAAAAAATAACCATACTTCATAAATTATTCATGAAACTGAAAATGAGAAACGAAAACTCGAACTTGTACTTTAATCTATCTTAATT